CCTTTTTGCTTGGTAACTACCATTTTAACAAAATGGTGTTTGTGCAATGCCTTGGAACCAAGAATTGAGCTTTTAAATGTAAGACAGGGAATAGAATAGGAAAGGCAGCACTAAAATCACCTACACGCCATGGCTTTTCAAGCCACATGCTTAGAAATATACGGCAGAACCCTTGAATTCTTGTAGAATATTAGACTGCTAGTCTTATTTCTTACGTAGCTAAAATTACTTGCATGTTTCTGATACTTGTGCTGTTTACCTTCCCCCAGTGCAAAGTTTGAAATTATTCTCTGAATCTACAGAAGTCAGTAAAAAAAAATAAAATTACAAAAACCTGTACTGTTGATGTACATCGTTCAGGCTTTTACTGGCTTTGCCCATAGGGACAAACCCTATTGTTTCAAAGTACAAACAGGAAAAGATACAGCCTGATCAATCGTTTATTTAGGTGCAGGCTTCCTTCAGAAAAGGAGAATACACTTTCCCCCTGCTGATGCTAAGATGCAACTTAAACGAAGATTTGGTGCAAAAAATATATCCAGTGCCATCGCATGATTATCCTCTCTGTTCTGGGTAACAACAGAGTATTTTCTCAGAATTATCGTGTTGTGGAGAATACAATACTTAGCTTAATAAAGAAAAAACAGTTTCTGCAGTAAGACTGATTACTTTTACATCACATCATTCTGTATTTAATGTAGGTCCATACGATGCCGGCACACACTTGGAACAACTATTGGTTGCCTTGTTAAAACATAAACCTCAAAGTTGCTAAAAATAGCAGTTAACTAGTAAGGACGAAACAAAATTGTCCCAGAACATTACAGACACCTGAAAATAAAAACTGAAAAGGAGGTGACTTAAGGGATTTTTGGTAACATTTAAGAAGTAAGAAACAGTGTAACCTTTAGGTTTAATGAGCATTACAATACATCAATTACAGAGACATAACTAATTTAAGGGAAGAGCATTCACTGGCAGTCAAGTTTGGTCACACACTTCATTTGCTTCACAGGGCAGGGGCAGCACCCTGTAATTAACAGTCGTGGTCAGAAGCCGTGTCCAAAGCTTGTTACCTTCTCGCAGCACGCCTTTCTCACAAAGCTGGAAAGGCGAGAAACTCCCCTTCTCCACTGACAAGAGGACGCTACCCCTTCATCTCCATGTATCGCTGCTGCGTAGATGTGGTATTAGAAACGTATTTCAGACCTGCCGGGGGTGACCCTCACATACTACTGTGGGTTTCTACCGCCTGCTGCTTCTCCAGTTGTTAAGAAGGAGGACATAGGAGCAGGAGGATGTCCAAGGAGCAGTCCCTGCTCACCACTTAAACAGGTTTTTGACCTTTGCTACGCCCCCAGCCTTGTATTAGGAGGCGCTGCTTGACAGAGACTAACCAAACCTAGTCCCCTCTTTCCTAGGTAAGAAGTCTCTTTGTATAAAACCACCTGAAGTAAGACTTAAGGTACTGCACTTCATTACTAAATCCCGTCTCCTGACTGATTCACCAAAGATGCTTATTGCCCCAAGTGCCAGACAGGATGAGAGGAAGGAAACACACATAGAAACAGGCCTACTGAGGGTCTAACAACACGTAGGAGATCCGTGCTAATTCTAGCAATGATTTCTTCTCAAAAACTGAGTCGAGTCTACTTCATATGTGAATGGGAGGATGTTCGAGGACACGGATGATACTGAAAACGTTGCTGATTCAGCAAACGAAACATGCTGATCAACAAAGCGATGACCAGCACAACAGAAAGATCAATGAAGGCCAAACTACGTATGATACAGTTAACTTTTATTTATTCTTCCAGCTGTTTGTCCAGTCTTTCCAGCAAGTTCACAAAAAGTCGAACTTTGAATCCGAAAGATTTGGTATTACTTCTAGCACAGTGGATTACATATGCAGATGAATAAAGGCTTGACTGTAAGTTTGCACTTTAAGGACCTTTGGAAAATAGTGCATTAATGGGGCCTAGTAACTAGAGACTTACTGCGTTCTTACAATCAAAACTATGACAGAATAAAATTTAGGCTTTTCAATATGTTCGCAACATTGCTATTTTTCTCCTATGTTTTGTGGTTCTCATAAACCAAAGAAACTAGCCTAAGTCTGACTGCTCATTTTAATTGCATGTATCACATAACAGGAAAGAAAGCACTGAAAGTCTCATTGCCATTAAACTGGCCACAATGGATATTATCATAAAACAGGAGATAACAGAAATAACTTGTTAGATTACAACTTTTGTGGCTAACTTAAATGCCTTCAACACATACTTGATTCGACATAAAATTATTCAAACTAACTCTCTTTTCCGATGTAGTATTTATATGGTAATCCTCCTCCTGGAGAGAAGAGTTCACTCATTTCCATGTTTTTCCTCCAAATACCCCATTTGTAGTGCTAACACCCCCAATACATTCTTCTGAGAACTATCAGGAAGGGCTCCATAAAATACCGTGCAGGTCAAAGAGAGCAGGGTGGCTTTGAAATAAAGAAAATGTTCATTAAGTGTAAGAAAAATGCCTTTTCTTCTAATCTGAAAATTGACAGGCTTGCAGACTTTATCTTAAACACACACAGTTCAGTTTCTCAACTTTTCTACCTTTTTTTTTTTTTTTTGAAAATACTACCAGTTGTAGCATGACGTAAAATGAGACTGAAACCATCGGTTCGTTTCCATATATGCTAATGAACAGTTGGTGAAACTATTGAATTCAACAGAAGGAATTGCTGGTTTAGGCTTTTTATATCCTCAAAGTCTTTTCTTACATGGCTTCTAAAACTCTTAGTCCTTTAATAATAAAGCAGTCCTTTGTCCAAAATTACTAGGACTGAGGTGAAGGATGTATTTTTGTTTGAAAATGCATACTAATTCTGAAGAGTGGACCTCCTTTTGAAACGTTTTGCAATTGCTAGGCTTTGAATCATGGTAACTTCTGAAAAGATTAAAAAAAAATACTGGTGCCACTTGGACAATCAGGTACGTAAAGCAAACACTGTGTTCATGGGGCAACCACTACAACACTGAATCAAACACGAGGTTATAAAATGTAAGATTCCAGGAACCTACTGATGCAACTTGAGGGTTTGGTTTTTACCTTTTGAAGATGCTAGAGATTGTTTCTATCAGATTTTGAACACTGTGAGAACGAATGTTTTTCATTAGCCATCCTCCTTCTCCCACCCCATTCACAAGAGTTAGCTTATTCTTGAATATGTGTGTGGCTTTGACTTTTACCTGAAGAAATGCAGATGTGAGATCATCCCAGTGTACCAAACAATGCCTGTTTTCAGTCATTTAAGGTTGTTCAGTTACGCTTTTGCTGTTCACATAAACCCACCACCCGCCACATCTGCTCTAAGTCTTGGTTTGCATGCAAAAGCCTAACGCAATGCCTCCACCGAGGGAATTCAGGCTCAGACCTTTGGAGCCGTTTACAGCCCTCAGATAATGCAGCGAGAGTCACAAGGGGGTGGGTCACAGGACAGAATATGCCCCCTCCTCGTAGATTTGCAGTAAGGCTTCTGATTTTGTTTGCAGCTTAATTTCTAGGCAAGAACTTCAGTACTAAACATAAACTAAAATTTTGCCTAGAAACTAGCTAAAAATACCTGTAGTTTCTAGAGGCGAATTATTTGCATAATTCTTAATTATTAAGCTTCACTGCTCAAAACCCATCTACGTTTCCCTAGGTGGACATTTCTCTGGAAAGCACTATTTTTAACGTAAAATAAAAAGTTTTAGAAAGGGTAGGAGAATGCTGCCAATCAAGTAATTTGGTGAGATTTCATTGCATAGGCAGATAGTGGTGCTATAGTGAATAATTTCAAATTAAATGTTTTCCAGTGCCACTGTATCATCTGCATACTATTCATTTAGTTCCTTATATTTAGCAGAAGTAGGGCACATTTTCCATATGCCATTTATAAGCAACATACACTGTTAATTTTATTCCTTACTGGAAAGTACCCTGGTCTATTTACAAATTAATTTGGGAAGTGACATCGTGACAGTTAGCCCCAACTGGTGCGCCTGACACAAGCGTGAAAGAAAGGATGAATAGGTGAGATTTTGCATTTGGCATTTCAGAATTAGGGGAGGTAATGTTTCCAGTTATATACACTTAAAATTATTTCTGAGAAGACATGTTGAACTTAAGCATTAAGCTAAATACCTATAGCCCTACATTATTTCATCAGTTATTTTCCAAGACATCATTCATTCCTTTGTTGAAAGTTTGCTTCTTAGCAGTTTTATCTTACTTGGAAAAATTACAGGTCTGTGAAAGAGCTTTATTTTGTTATACTGACTTATATAACTAGTTCCTTGCGCATTAGTACTAAAGAGCACAACTTTTTCGTAATGGCAAGGGGAGTTCATTAGAAAAACACCAAAATTGTATAACTGGAAATAAAAACAAAGCATAAAAGCACAGCATTTCATGTAAGATGAGCTTTCAACTGAAATATTAGAAGAACACCCTCCAACACCCTGCCATATTAATATCAGACCAACTTGAAAGGCACTGAGAATTGAACTGTGCAACTCATATCCGTACCTGTGAGAGTAACAACCACAGTGAGATGCAAACCTCCAAGGCAGAATATGGCACTGTACAGTCCATTAGGCATTCCTGGTACATACGGCAGTTTTATATTCTCTTAGGATAAGCTGGAAATGTTAACTAAATATACAAATTACATAGTATTTCCGTGGAAAAAAAAATATCCAATTTACACCATCTGAAGACAAGGAAACAAGGCAAAACATACACGACATTGTTGGCACAAGACAATGTTATCACATCAAAACACGCCCTTTTAAATTTAATCCAGTGGATATATAAAGGAATGGTGGTGGCAGAGGCAAAGGGACAGGACGAATACCAAATATTCAGTTTTAAGCATGCTAGTGAGGTCTTTGTTTCAGAAATCTGACAAAAACTGAAGCTACCAAAACCATTTCAGAGGCAAGAAAGCACCCTTCGGAAATCTGACAAAAACTGAAGCTATCAAAACCATTTCAGAGGCAAGAAAGCACCCATCAAGACAGTCCAACCCGTTTCCAGGCATTCCTCTCGTGGACTGACACATGCAGACTGCAGGATCTGTCCAGTATCATCTCCGTGCCCGAGGCTGCCTAAAGCTTCCCATTAGCAAATGCTGCCTCCTGGAACTGAGGGACAAAAGTTTTGAAATATGCCCTAGTGAAAAAAAGAAAACGCATGGTTAGGAAGGAGTAAACTTGCAACATGGTGTGTGCATGTATGTAGCCAGGGTTTTAAGAGAGAAGCATGATGTTATCACGCTCCGTCCGTTATTAGATCTCATCACTGGATAATGTTTTTCTTACAAGTTTTGAGTAATGCAGCAGATCCATACGCTTCAGCTTTCTAGACCCAGCAGTACTTCTTTCTTCAGTGTCCTCACCACTAACCTCTTAATGTGGTCAACATCAGTAACTTGACACTGTCAGAAGAGCCTGATGAACTGTCCATATTGTACCCAATGCAAAGCTCCAGAGATAAACTGTATTACGCACTGGAAAATAAACCTTTGAGTGGCTGTAAAAGTGAGAAACACTTAGATGAGCCACAAGCGTGGCTATGCCACTGCCTGCAGCGTTTTATAACTGGGACTTTTTGATGCAGTTGATGTTCACCGTGTTTCTGGGATAATAAGGGTTTTTCCCCCGCCTATGCTGAAGAAAGCTTCACATACGGTACCAAAGGCCCAAAGACAGACAAGTCATTGGAGCAGGAAAATGGCAAAGAGAAGTCAGAATACGTGCAGGAGATAAGCTCTTTATCTGTCTCCTTACAGTAAACTTGACGCAATACAGAGTCACTGTCAATGGCAGTAGTTTACGTAAGACACAGTGAATAAATACTAACACTTTGGATGAACTGTAATTCCTTTTATTAAGACTCCAAAAGTCAGAACATTAGTCTATAGATTAAGATGTGCTTTGTATATTTTGGATCTTAGTCTATCTTCTTTACAAAGAATCAAGTGACTCATAAATCTGTAAAATGAGCTGATCCTAAGTATCCAAAACTGAGTTCGAACTGTACCTTTGAGTTTATTGCACTGAAATACTCAACCGTGTACTAAACATATTTTGTGTCCCAATGATACCCTTTATTTGCAAGTTACATTAGAAGCTGCTTCATCATTCTGACTACTACTTTCTGCACCAAAGTTTCACTTTCTCTACTTCTTTTTTTAAAAACATTTTGTTTTCTGTTCATATCACTGGTCTTTATAAATTTCTATGCAAGGAGAACCTCCTCCTCTTCTCCCCACCAGAAAAAAAAAAAAAAAAAAAAAAAAAAAAAAAAAAAAATGGCTGCAATTATATTCATTACGTTACTGATCTCTCTGCTGGTATACCTCCTGAAGCAAACATATGCTGATCATCTTCACAATCATGATATGTATTTCATAATTCGGGAAGAAGTTTTGGCAATCACTGAACACCAATCATACCTCCTCACATCTAAAAACGTTGCAAGATCACAAAAGAGAACGCTCCCCTCTCTTTGTGAAGTCGTGCCTGCCAAATTAATTAACAGATAGCTGCAGTCAGCTTTTGTACAAAGGCTGTAAACACACACGAGATGCCGTCCAAAGGTTAACAGAGCAATAGAAAGTAAAAGCATTTCTGGACTGAGGAGCTGAGCCCAGAAATGGAAAAGAGAAGCAGCAAAACCAGCACACACATTTTATAGCATACACAGATTGTGCTGTGTATTTACAGAACACACTCTGATTTATTGAATCAAAGTTCAGAAAGCAGCCCTCATAATTATGCCCACAAAAGTGATTGTTCATCCTGGCACAGACGCATACATAAAGCAGCTGAGAAGGTATGCCTGTCATCTGATCTTAACAGATCCTAACAGCCATTTCTCTATTTGTGTGTTTATAGCATACATTTGAAATTGCAGCCTGTGTATGTCCCGGTCAGCTCTACATCATTTTGCTAGCTCAAGGAATATCAGTTGCACATTGTCAATGCCAGGATCTATCATCCTTTTATTTCTCCTTGCATTATCTGTCCTAACATTTAATTACATTTCCTCTCCTCGCTTATTTTAAGTAGCTTCTTCCTTCCCCTTTGGTAGCTTCTCTGCAGACTCTTCTTCCACGCACATGCTCTTCTTACTGACTCGATAAATGTTACTTAAAACTTCCCTCTTCCTAAATTGTAAAAATTCTTAATCACTAAATGGGATATAAGCATAAGTATTTTCCTACATTTTATTTCTTTTCTGAAACACCTCCTTTACAGCATTTCTGTGCTTTGTATTAAACCCACACTTACTACATTGTATTTCAATGACTTTTCTGTTAGGTAAATTCCAGAATGAATGCTTCTGATACCACATACACCCTCCCACACCATCTTTATCTACACCAGTATCCTTTCTTTTCACCGATTCCTGCAGTAGAGCTTGTATCCTTTGCTGCAAAACTAAATCTAACACCTCCCTACATTCTGATCAGATGTACTATTTCAAAGAGGATGTTATTTCACTGGTAGTTCATATGAACCTCTTGGAGATGTTCCATACACTACAAGAATTCCATTAGTACTTCATAATTTGTTAATGTCTACTTTTTGCTTTCTATACTTTAAAGTGCATGCTGAAGTTTGCCCTTATCATTTGTGGTCTTGTCCAGACTGAAGCAAATGTAGTACCAAATGTTTACGCAGGATATGTTCCTCCATTTCTGCCCCTCTCCCACGCTCCCTAGGTATCTGAGATTAAAGAAATTTTGGAAAAAACATTTGGATAATTATGGTTCATCACACACACACAAAGTAAATCCCCCCCCCCAAACAAAAGAGACCCTGCAAAGAGATCCAAAAGCACAATATACTTGATAGGACTGTTTCAGCTACAGCACATGTAATAGACTGAAGAGGAAAGATGGGGAAGTAGAAGAAGGGAGGTTAAACTGCTTTGATGTTAATGAACACTGCATATAGGGAGGGAATGGCAAGTATTCGTGTATAAAAGTAACGAGACTTTTTTGGCATATATGAAGGAGTAGAACAGGCAGCAAAGACATTACTCATTATTAGAGCTTGTTGGAATCTCTTTTTTTTTAAAAAAACACATGACTTTTTCAATGGAAAATTACATTTTTACGCAGTTGTGTGCATTTCTGTGGAAATGCTATTGAGTTTTCATCAGGAAAAGAAGGAAAAGAATGAGGTACTTTGGTTTGGGTTGACCTGCGAAGAGATGTTCTGGTTTGTAGAACTGAGCCTAAACAATCAGTTTGATATTAACCTGCTTATTTGCAGTCCAACATCTCAGAGTTGATGTATCTAGTCACACAGACAAGGCCCTGGTGCATCACAGGAGTCATAAGTGTAAACATAACAGCAGAAGTAGTCTCTTCAAAGGACCCAGTCCATGAAGAATGATGGGATAAATCATCAAAATTTCTGCTTCCGGGAGGCATTGTGCTACTGCTAGCAGATGCATTACAGTGTCACATTAACTGCATTTTTTTTTACGTGTTCCAAGCAAAATTTTTTTCAGAACTTTTTCTTTTCATCTGAAGTTTGGAACAAACCATATGTTAAAATATTTGAATTTCCTGTGAAATGGAAATTCTGACATTTTTTCTCCCCTGCAGAGATTACCAGTAAGGAGGAACAGAACAAGCACCAATTACTGGCTGAGTAAGTTTCACCTACCAACCAACTGGCATTGAGGTCAAAGTGTACATGTTTCCACACAAATAGGACCATGACATAGACATATTATGTCACAACGAATTACACGAAATAACTTTAAAAGAAATACAAAATTTTCTGAAGGACAATACTCTGCTACAGACTGAATGGTAACGGCCTCAAGGTTTTAAATTGATAGAAACACTCCTACTCCAGCATCCTGAACATACAGGCACAGAGAAACCGTGAATGTAAACATGAACTTTGGAAAAAGATTCATTTCTCATACACTATTCACATATCCTATTCACACAAATTTACACCCTCAATTACTTTGATCTGTGCTACACCACAGGAATTCACATAAAAATCTCTCAACGTTTTTGTTTCAGACACTTTGCCACATGATACTTTCAAGTATCTCAGAAGTGTTTTGAAATTATTATTTTTATATCCACTAGAGACGCTATTCAGCTCTAGAGAACTGTTATTAAAAAAAAAAAATCTGTAATTTGGGTACCTGTTAAATTACACTGAAGATGCAGAAAGCTACCCTGATCTATGGTTTCTTTAGGCTGTGTCATATGGCAGAAATCAGTTTTTGGTCAATGCTTTTTCTCCTTTCTGGGAAACACGGAGTTCCTTCTTTCTCCTGCTTTACTCTACCATGTTCTTGGTGGGTCTGTGTCACACTGACCTTACACCAGAAGAACCGCATAAAATGCTCCTTCAAGTACAGAGAAACTGGTTTGTACAAAGTCCACAGATATTCTTTACATGACTGTTGAGTACAATGGCTCTGCATCCCTCTCGTAATGGTTTAGATCTTAGCTTAAACAGTGTTTAAAGAGTTGCTTTCTTTTCAGCTTAGAGTGGGTGCCAATCTTCATACGCACACAGGGACATGTCTAACTGTTTGTTGAGTGTCTTACCGTAAGAATCTATTGGTTTTTGTCTATTTGTTTTTGTTCCCTCAAATGGTCATTTTCCAAGTTCAAGGTAGCAAGTTATGGGGTTTCTATGGAAATTTTTCTTCAGCACTCCAGAAAACAACACATTTCGCTGTAGTTAACCACTATATACACTCGATACAGTACATTGAATTTCAGGTGCTATGCTCAAGGACATCTGCTGAGAGTAAAGCACTTATCTTTCCTTCACCTTATTATCCAGTGGAAAAAAAGTCTTGCTATTGCAAATGGTAAGTATCTGAAAGAAGGCAGAATTGGATCACTCGTTGTTTACATGTTTTCTAGTGATATAAAACACTGACTGTGGTACAAGGTCTCCAGAAGGCCATAGATGTCTAAATCCTAGGGTGTGGGTTTGCAGTGCTTAAAACATACTTGACTCAGAATTTACATGCTTTTGTGAAATTTCATTCTAATTGTAATGTTTTTTCCAGTATAACTTAGTGCTGGGTTTTTAAAACGTAGTTGTAGAAAATCTGCATTGACCATTTGATAATACCTTTTGCCTTCAGATTCCTATGCTGAAAATCTGCAAAGA